GTGTGCAGCCTGGGCTGGGGTCAGCCCCGCGGCTCCCGCCTGCGCTGCGGTCCAGGCCCCACAGCAGCGGCCGGGCTGTCCCCCCGGCCAGACCCCTCCTCCATCGCTGCCGCTCCGTGCCTCAGGCGCGGTGGGTCGGCCGGACCCTCCGCCTGAACCGCCTTTGCTGTGTGATTTACGGGTCTCGGGCTCTTGGGGAATAGGTGTCTCCCCCCTTCCCAACGAACAGCGGCCTCTTGTCCCCCGGCTCCACTTAGTGAGCTCATTTCCTTCCACAGTTTCCCGGCTCAGCCCCCACACCGCTGCTGCAGGGAATCCGGCAATAGCTTCCCGACCAGCCCAAGTAACTTGGTGAAAACTGCGTACGCGAGGCAGGTGGTCTGTTTAACACATCTCCCCGTGCCATTGCCCCGAGCCCCACGCGTTTGCTTTGGTGGTGTAACTCCTGCATCATACGGAGATCTATTTAATGCCATTAAAACTAATTGCTCTCTATGCTGCAGAGTAAAGTGACTCCAGGGAGAAATTTCACGTATTTTGGACAGCAGAACAACCATTGAAAGGAATTACTATAGTGCAGTGGGAGGTCTGGGCTTTTCACACACTATTTTCATATCTCCAATGTTATTCCAGTTTCAAGCAGCGCCAGGGCATGAGGATGTGGTTTGCTCAATCATTTTGAACCCAACACTTAGAGTGAGCAGGGCCCAGCAGCACACCCCATACCCGTGGCCTTGTCTAGACAAAGATTTAATGGCAACGGCAGCATGTTTAATGGTCTAAGCTGTGCTAACTCCTTAGCTTTCTTTAGTAACTAAACTCCACCAGTTTAGCTTGCATTAAATTTTGTGCTGTCAAATCTCGCATGAACTTTGTAGAGTGTATTCTTCAGCAATATGCTTTCCCCCCCTCTTTCTAGCAAAGCCCTCCGGTCCATCCAGAGCATGGGCAGTGCAGATACCCCCAAAGACACAGGTCTGCTGGCCAGTGGCTTGTTTATGCTAGAGTCCCTTCAGCACAACAAAGCCACAGGTAGCCAGACAGAAAAAGGGATCCCCTCAGATCCACACACAAACTCGTTCAGGTGAGCTTCACAGGCCGTTCAGGAAAGCAAAGAAGGCGGCTTTCTTCTAGAGTGTGCGCTGGGTGGTCTATAGGCTGGCATGTCAGGGTTAACAAAGGAGCAGAGGGCTAGGAGAAGCCTGCTCCTCTGGCAGAGGGATATATTGGCACCTGGATGATCTAGGTCTCTTTCAAAATTAAGAAAGTTCCAAAGTCTTTGGCCCAAATTGGACAGTCATGTCCCAAAGTGCAAAACAAGCGCAACTGTGGACAGTTTATTCAAGGGCCTAAGCATGGATTCGTACGTCCTCTGTGTGTGTGTGTGTTTGCAGCAACGGAAAGGCAGAAGATTGGAAGACGTGAACAACTGCAAGTAAAGACAAAAATTCTTAATAAGCAACAATTGATTTCTACTCACAGCACCTGTGTCCAGCTTCAGGCTGCAGTGTAGTTCTTGTGGCTCTCAGGAAAAAAGAAAAAAAAAAAAAAGAAACTCTGGCTGCTCTGCATCATTTACAGTGTAATCACTTTGCTGGTCAGCCTCTGTGGAGATGCACTTCTTCTTTTCCCCTGCGAGTCCATTGTCTCATACAAACTAAAGAGGTATGGAGGGGTGCACCCTGCTCAGGGCCCTGCTGCCCCAAGTGCTGTGCACACATACCAGCGGGGCTTCTGGCTTTCAAACTTTGCAGTTTGCCTTTCCTAAGAGCGGCCAATGCCAGTTCCTTCAGAGGGTAACTCAGGACCTAACGAGTTAGGTGTGAACCCCCTTCCTTCTCTTTCAAGGGCAGAAGAAGAAAGGGTAGACAGGCACTAGCGGGATTACAGAGCTCTTAGCAAGTTTCTAACCGGTTATCTAAGTCAACTGGGCAAGAAAAGATTGGTGTAGTGGAGAGACAGGCAGTTAGTAACTATAGAAGAGGATGGTGCAAAAAGCACATCAACGGAATAGAGCCTGTAAGGGCTAAGGGGGCAGGTGGGGAGCACTGTCCAGCAGACACCAGTGTGGTCGCTATCTACACTGCTGTAATGCTTCCCAGCTCTTCCAGGCCACAGGGCCTTTGGAAAAGTCAGAGGGAAGACATGGGTCTTGGGTGGTGCCCCCAGCGCCAGAACTGCAGCCCCTGAGTTTTCCAATAATGTCCTCCTGCCGCAGAGTCATGTTAGTTACAACAACATTACAGTAGCTTTTTGCAGCTAAGGATATTTCTCAAGTACTCAATTTCTTAAAAAACAGAAGTGGGCTTCTCTTTTTAGGGGGCAGGGACCCCAACATACCAATTCCAGAAGAGTCCATGTTCACATTCATGTGGGTTTCTAGACAGACTGGTTGCAAGCATCACCTTCTACCTGTGACCTGTGTGCAGCGCTGTCTTCCACTGCCCGTGCAGGCAGCCAGCCTGTACCTCTCATGTTGCCTCAGAGCTCTCTCCTTAACCTCATAAAGAATAAAAATGAGCAGATCACAACAACTTTAACAGCTGGCAGTTGCACCAGTAAGTCTGCTATTTTATTTTTCTTGAGGACGGTCATGGAAGGAATGCAGGTTGTAGCTATTCTCAGCCTTCTCCCATGAAGAGCCTACAGCTGAGCTCACCAGTGGCTTATCACAGGAATTCCATTAAAGAACCTGCCAGAGGGACTTGAAATCTCTTGTATCTAAACAGAGCTTGTCCTGCTTATTCCAGAAGAAGATACATCTTGTTCCTGTTTCATTTAATCCAGAGTGGATTAAATTAAACAGAATCATGGCAGTCTTATTTCAGAATGAAAGGCACATGTTAAACTGTTATCAGACAGCTCTACGCACACATTGATATTTAAAAGACTTTGAATCTGGCCCGTCATAAGCTTTCTAGGCCAAGGGTATTTGTTTACTTTTTCTTTTCCCCACCCTCTGTTGCCCTAGTAAGCTCCTAAATATTAGTGTGGTATAAATAATAATTTCAAACGAGATTTTAGGCTGCTGCATTAAGCAGATTGCTCACCAAAATTATACTGCACGTCTGCAGAAAGGCTGAGTAACAGCTAACAGACATATGAACTTCTCAGCCTATATTAACTTTACAGCCTAGTTGTATCCAAAACACCTGCCTAATCAAACTCATTAATTAATTAGCAGCAGACTGGAAAAGAGGATACTCCTGGGATGGTTAGGGATTGCTGCTGTAGAGATAGAAAAGAGGAGCTGTACAAAGTCAGAGAGAAAAAACAGGAAGAGGAGGAAAGGACAAAAGTTGTAGAAGTTGTTAAGAGAAAGCAGATCCATCCTCGCCCCATTTTATGCAGGATACAGTACCTGGGGACTGAATCCATAAATACAGATAATTAAAAAGTTACCCTACAGGTCAGACTCTCCAGTCTCCCTCTGACACCCACAGGAAATGTGATATAGATTGAAAAGTCTATGTACTCATATCTTTTTTCCCCTTTCTGGCTCAGGAACTGTAATTAAAGGAAAAATCAGCCGCTCTCCTGCCTTGGAGAGTATAGTGGCACAGCTGGTTTTCATCTTGGCTAGCAGGCTCTGTCCTCAGGCTACTAAGTGCTGAGTAATTTTTACCAAGCTCTGCTTGCAGATAAATGATGTTCTTCTCTTAGCTGCTGCCAGGCAAAGCTACAAATACTTGATCTTTTATTCTTTTCTCATAAACTCTTAACATTGAATACTAAAAATGCAGCCAGAGATTTTTCCACTGCCATTTATTCTCAGCATGGTCACAACGGAATTACAATTACAGACACCCACCCATTTGCTGAAGCTCAACTGTAGTTCCTCATTAACCTGAAGCTTCCAATTAAAGGTTCCTTCAATTTCATTGATAGTTTGCATATACTCCAAGGACCCACTTCATTTTTTTTTTTCCCCAAAAACACATTTCATGAGAAGAGCAACTGCTTTAAATAACTTCACAATAATTTTCTGGAAAAGCTTGATGAGCGAGTGCCAGTCTTAAAAGAGAAGCTTGTGTCTGAATATGCAGTTTGGGTAATTTCTCTCACAGCTATAACTCTAAAAATATCTGAAAGCTTTTGACTAAATGTGGCACAACTGCTGGGCAGATAAAGTGTGGGCTCAAACCAATGGAAAGAATCTAGAAAGGAACAACACTGGAAACCCATTAGTTTAATTTAGGTTTTCTGCAGTGTTTCTAGTGTTTCTTATATTTTCTAAGAAACTTCATAAGAATTAGTTAAAAATTGTATAGAAAAATATTTTTAAAAATACTAGTTAATCTTGGCAGTGCTGTTCTACCCACCTCCATTAAGTGAAGCCGTAAACATGAAGCCAGCACAGGGAGGAAACAGAAAAATGGTACCAAACACCATGGCTAATTTTAGAATCATTCTGAGTCCTACAGCATGAGACATAGTGAGTAACAGGGCACATGAAAGTACCTGCACGCTTTTAAGAGATAAAGCAAGGTTTCACAACAACCTTGATCTCAAAGATAGTTTTCAAGTATAAGACTAATAGTCTGTAAGCTTCCTAAAGAAGCCCGTGCCTTTGAAGATCATCTTCCTAGCACACACACCAGTCTTACAGGATTACTGGCTACTGTTTTAGTAGTATCAGCCCCTTATGCAAGTCTAGTTTCTGTTTAAACCAGGGAGAAAAAGAGGAGAGGAACAATTCTGCAAATCCATAGCCACTGAAAAAGAAAAGATGAGGTGGAAGTAGCTTTTCTTTTAGAAAGTGAGAATTTGAACTGCTACCTTGATGGCTATGGCAGAGAGGGCACTTCATACGCTTTCTTCTGTCTGTTATGGGTGGGGATACACAATAAGAGCTTTAGCCTAAACTGTTTGCACGTAGCATGTTTCAAAACATAGCTTAATACAATCACCACATTACAAGTCCAATGTGAAGGTGTCTTGGCTTGTCTTTGCTGCTCAGTCTATGATCTGTGCTTAGACCCAATTTAAACCCTGTGAACAAGGAGGCTGAGATGCACTTGTCATTTAGGATAAGGAAGCTGGGGGAAAGTATCTGGATTCTGAACCAAGTTACAGTGGTTTTTTTCTTTTGCAAGTCCTCAGGATGTGGCAGTCTTGTCTCAGCCCACAGAATTCTATTTAAATGCTATGGTAAAGGTATTCTGTTGTAGTATAGTTTCTAATTTTAAATGTTTTCAAGCATTTGAACTAGATTGTAAATGTTTGAAACTCCAGGGGAGAGAATCTGTGCCATCTTTCCATTATTATAAAGTCTTCAGACTCAGGACTGGACTTTGGTAACTACGTATCAGGGCAGTGCCAGGATATGCTGGGACTTAACAGTGTTCCTGTGACTTAAGCGTTAGAGGGAAACAGTCCATGTTAAACACACTTCACACAAAGCATTCTTCTTAAATGCCTTGTAAAACAAACGAAATGTTGGTTAGAAACACATTCACCACCACTGACCACACAGGTTTTTATATTTAATAGAAATTAAATTAGTAGCTTAATATACATAATGTGACACTTTCCAGTCCAGCAGCTTTCCAATTCTTGCTTTCAAGTCACAGAGCAAATACTGTACAAAAATGATAACAAAGATCAACCAAAGAGTAAACACTGTCACTAGAACACTGGGCCCAGAAAGGCTAGGTTTATCAGGAGCTACACACGCCAAAGGATACATAACGATGGACCCATTGTGGTACAATCATGCATTACCAAGGGGTAGATCTACTGCTGGCCACGCACATGCTGGCTGGTCCAGGGCAGGTGGCAGCCTCCTGGGCTGCAAAGTGAGCTGTTTTACCGTGCCCCGTAGCTGTAGTAGTAAGGTTCATCTGGGCGGTATCCATAGGCAGTCGCTGGGCGGCCAGGAACCCCTGGTGATTGACCAAATCCATCAACTCCAATGCTGCAAAAAAAGAGGAGAGAAACTGAAGGTTTCTGTATGGTAGGGAAGGCACGCTAGTGCTGGGGTCTCCAGTTCTTCCTGCCACAAAGATAATTTTGTGAGGCAACTTCACAAGCCATCTTCCCCTTCCAGCCAGCACTGCTCTGTCTCCCCTTCCCTTTGTGGGGAAAAAAAAAATGCTGCAGAGAAAGAAATCAAGACAATTACTATAAAGAAAAAGCTTTCAGGTCAAATAGAAATCCCAGAAGAGTCAGAAGCCTTCTCTTCTGCCCTTTTATGGATATACTAGCAAAGCACTTCTCTGCCTCAATTTCTCTCTCTGTACATTAAAGTTAATGTGTCTTTTGGGGAAAGGCCTCAAGCATGCTTCTGGCAAAAGCCCACCAGTAACCCTGTCCTACATAGCACATCTTCCTTCCTTCCTTCCTTCCGTGCATTTCTGAAGCCCCTGGGAAAATACCAGCTAGAAATGAGAAAGTGAGAACATCTGGCACAGCAACATAGTTCAGCAAAGGACAGTCTTTCTGGTGGGATACAAGACTGACAGCCAAATGGCAGAAAGAGTTCATCATATGCTGAAAAGCTATATATTAATGAGACAGAATAATTAATTTCTTATATAGAACAGCATCTTTTACACCTAAAAAGTCACACAGCAATGAATTAGATACTAAAGCACAAGAGGTGCGTAGGGAAAAGTGGCACATATTTCATGCTCAACAGTAACTCTCATGCAGGAGGTAGAGGAAAAATGAACATTGCTTAAGATACTGGATTACTGCCTATTCATAGTTATGTCACTTCTCAACTTCCACTTCAGTAAAAGGATAAATGGAAAAGGATTCTGATTTATTGTCTGACTAAAGATGCATTGAAAGGAGTTGCACTTCCCTTCTGAAGACTGTCAAAACACAAAGAACCAAAGTGCTTTTGGAGTGGGGAAAAGCTGAACCTCATTACTGGCAATTATACATATGGAACATGGGTTATACAACAGTCAGGGCTGGGAAAGAAGGACCCATCCAGAAGATGTACAATGGGTGCGCCCCAGGCGCTGGCTCAGCAAAAAGCTGGCACTGCTGAATTGGTTGGACTGAAAGGGCTCAGCTGAAGTGGTGGGGGACCACGTCCATCACTCTGTCCTTGCAAAGACATGGTCCTCAGACTGTGTCTCTATGAGGTCCTAGAAAAGGATCCCTGGTGCCTGGTTTCTCAGGGAACTAGTTCACTCATGGGATATTCTGATAATCAGGTGAAAGTGGAAAGTCTGAGGCTGAGATTTGTCCTCTGAGATAAAGGGGACACAGACAACAAGCCAAACTGCAGAAAAAGTTATTCTGTTACACCTGAATGTATCTTGAAAGTGTTTTGCTATTTCCATGTCTGCCTATCTGCAGTTGAACTGGCAATGCCCCATCTTATAACTCACACACAGAGCCATCAGTCTGACCTTAAAGGCTGGTCAGTCCCTTCAGCATGGCAAAGTGAAGCAGAGTAGCTGTGGTGTACCCTGTAGTGGTGCAAAGCTATGTGAGTGCATGCCTCTGGCTCCACACCTTCCTTTGGCCACCCAGTCCTTCCTGATTCCACTCCAAAGTCCCATTACGCTTTTCCAAGGCCATTATGAAAGGAGCTGGTAACCTCTGAGGCACCTTCTCCAGGTCACTCCTTTGTACTTGGCAATCAACAGCTTTCTCATTAGCAGGCTTGAAGCTTTAAAAGGCTCTGAAAGTCGCAATTAAGAGAAATCCTGTTACATTCTCTGTATCTAACTCTCATCTCCAGAAACACCATGCCCTGCACTCACCTTAGCCAGAGGATGGTCCCTGCTTCTACTGCTGTTACCAATTTGCAGTTTGCAAAGGGACTGGGCAGACAGAGCTCACATGGGCTGCCATTAGGTACAGCTTTATAAACACAGGCCACAAAGCTCCTCCAAACAAGCCAACAAGGACCTAGAATGAAGCTGACCAATTTGTTTGGCAGTTCAGAAAATAAACAAGTTGAGTAACTACTTTAAAACAATGCTGATTCTTTAAGAGAGTTCTTTCAGTATTGTTAGTAGTTAATAACAAAGTAGGAGTTAATAACAAAGGCGGTGTAAAGGAATTTGGAAGTGCAGAGTCCAGTTTTGTTGTGCTGCTGCAAGTTCCCAGTGATGCCATGCATGTGTAACACTGCGGAGAATCAGGATCCTTTTAGTCTACCTTCAAACTCAGGAATGACACTGTTTTATTCCAAAGATCCTGAAAGCATCTATGGTAATTACAATGAGAAGATATTTTAACAGAAAACACTTCTCTGGGTTTATCTTTCAATTTTTTTTTTTTCTGTGACTATAACCACATTAGTTGGGGATAAGTTGGTTTTATTACTACTACAGTAGAATAGGGGCTCTTTGCATTTCTGCTAACTACTGAAAACTTCATTTTGGAAAGATGTTGTAGGTGAGCAAGCAGGTTGTGGGCACTGTAGGCTGCAAGCCAAGCTAATATGGGCCATCCTCAGGTTTACTGTGGCAGAGGAGGACACAACAAATACAGCAGCCTGAGAGACCTGTCTCGAAGAAGAATTTTCTTCCTAAACGTAAACGTGGCTTCTCTTGATGCTGCAGAGTTTCAAGAAGTTTTGGTCACTCTGTTACATACTAAAAGAACATTATGTTGTTGGGGGTGAGGTGTAATAACGACACTGAGCCAGGAGGTGGCAATGGGTTTCTATCACTGCAGGCAGAGCCGTTGCAGCTACTTCCACTTTAGTACACCTTATTCAAGGAACTTTCAAATGTATTTAAATTGATAACGAGAGCAGGGAAAATATGGTTTCAATCACATTCTCAGCAAACCTTTTAATATTTTTTTTATAAATGTGTAAGTAATTAGGTAAAGATCCCTAGAGTATAAACTTTGAGCAGTATCAGTTATTTCCAAATGGTTCAGACATATGTTAGTGTCCTGAAGAAAACTGGAAGAGATGGATCAGCTGATAACTGCTTTGGACAGTTAAAAAAAAAAAAAAAAGGAACAGAAAAATCACATTAAAACACCTTGATCAAATCACCACTCTCTCCCATCTAAGTATTTCTCGTAAGTAAATGAAGGCTTGTCCATGCTTCAGAAAAAGTTGGCTTTGTTTTTACATGTTGGTGCTCTTGAAACATACCAGCTTTGCCTACTAGCTTGTTTGCACTGGCAGCCCGTAGCAAAAAGCTTCTCCTCTTAGTTGAAGGAAAGGCTGTTGAACCCAGGAGGTAACTGAGGGGTAGGGCAACAAAACAGCAAACACGCATCCGTAGACTGAAGCCTGGCTTACTCATGAAGCTAGCAGGCCAAGAGCAGTGACTCTGCAAGTATAACCTACCGAGGTGGAGACACGGGCTTAAAAATCAAGTCTTGATGAATCCTTGCCACTTCTGCCAAGAACAGCAGAAGGGTAGAGCCAGTAAAGATGGTAGCTTTTCAGCTGTAAACACTTGGTGGGTAACGACTGGCCTGAGAACATGATTTGTGCTGTATGTTCTTAGATTTATACCAGCCATCAACTTCAGAACTTGCTCCCAAGAAAAACGTGCCATTGGCCTTAATTATACAGCATCTACAGGAAAAGTCAATGCTCAGCACAGCAAGCAGCCTGTCTTCCCAAAAAGTAGGGATGCATAATTATGCAATTGAGGCAACAATTCCCATCCCCAAATTGGTATTTTTTCATCCCATTAGTCAGCCCTGTTCAACTAGGCACCTAGCAGAAGCACATGCAATGCCTGTAGTTGTATAATGGATGCAGATCTCACAACACCACAACTAACTCCTCAAATAAATGACTTCTGCCGTTGCCTTAATCTGCAAATCATTTAAGGCAGTTTTGTCACACAAAATTGCATGCATGTGCACAGAGATTGGTGCTTGCTAACCACGCTGTCAAAAAACAACTGTTTTCTTATGCAAAGTTACCGCCATGCCTGGAGCTGATGGAGTTAAACAGTGAACAGCACAGTTAATTACTATGTACTGCTAACCTCAGTTGCTGGTTCATTTTGAGACCCTTTAAAATATGAACTGTGTATTTTACCCCTATGCACTCTCTTAATGATTTGTTTTTTTTAGACTGAAATCACTTCCAGCCATCAGTTATACTCGAGGTCTCTACACATGCACTTCTCCAAGCACAAATATTTCTTTTTCCTATTGGTCTGCCAGCCCCTGTCAGAGCAAATTTCACTTTAAACTAAATGCTATGATACTTAAAACCTCTTGGATTACTCAGGCTGCTAGTGTGATCTATGACCTTCCCCAAATGACAGCTGAACTTTCCAATTTGCTTGTACTGCTGGGGAACACATGCCGAAGAGGAAAATGTTCCTGATGTGCATGAGTGAGGAGAGATTTCTTAACAGCTCTGCTTATTGATACTTGCTCTGATTCATAACATCCAAATTAATATGTCCATCTCAGATCCTAGGTGCCCTAACATAATTTAAAATGTAAAGAGCAACCAGTCCCCCCGCACAGCAGGAAATGCCAGCCAGCATCCTACTATGGCCACAAAATACTTTCCTTAACTCCCCCCTGCACACAGAGCCTCAGAGACTAGACAGGCTTTGTGGCATGTCTGGAAGACGCGGCAGGCTCAGAGAAGGAGCACTCTGCCAGCAACCCTCTGCTGGGTTCCCATTCAGGTACCTTCGCTGCTCCCGAGTGCATGTGATGGGAGGAGTGATTCTTGAGCTTAGTCTGAACTAGGCTCATTAGCACCTGGGTGCAGACTGACCACGAGGCAAGGCTGCTTTCCATAAGTTTTCCTGATGCGATAGACACCTGAGCCTGTCCACACTAGCATTCACACTGTTATTAGTGCTGGTGCTGACAAGCTGCTCTAAAACGGGTACTCATTCCTTCAGCATAAGCAGGGCCTCAGAAAGGCAAATCTTGAGTCAGTAGGGAAATTCTTGGTCAAAACTAACCCCTTGAAGTCCAACTGGAAATCCCTCAGTAGGACGCGTG